TCTGTTCAGATTTCCTTAGGGAAACCATCCTTAAGAACATGTTGAATAATTGCTGAGCAATAACTTTTGAGGAAGTCTTAATCAATGAGAACACCTCTGGATACCATGTGGAATAATAAAGTACCAATAGGATATATTAGTGTCCCCAAGCCAATTTTACCAAAGGCCCACCAGATGCATTGCAAAATACTCAAATGGCATGTCAATAACTGGGCAGAGGCACCAAAGGATTCCTAAAATGTGACACAGGAGCACTTAACTGACAAGTGGGACATGAACCACAATGCCTCAGCCAATAGAAATGGTCTGTTACATGTGCTTCTGTTTCTTCAGCCCCCCAGGTGTCACTGTAAGCCTAGTGAAGTACCATGTGTCTGAAATGTTGGGAAATCAGTAACTGGTATAGCGTCTCACCATTGACCGCAAAGGTGGGGAGACCTTCTTTTGGTCTTGATCACTTGTGATGCCCTATTAATCAGTGTGAGTTGTTCCCTGGCATTTTTTTAATGTGGGGTCCTGCAGCGGTAGCACCAAATGCACCCCTTGACACTTCCAGGTAAGGATTTGCATGATTAGAGGAATCTTTCCCCTCGTCCTCCTCTGCCACAACCTGTAGAGGGGAAATTACCCCTACATCCTCCCCAATCATGACATGCATAGGAGGGTACATACATGCATACAATCCACAGAGTCTTAGTTACAAGGCCCAATTTCCATCTATTTCAGTATGGACAAGGGTTACCATACTACCTGAGACCAGCAGAGTCACATTCAAAGCAGATCCGGATGGATGGCAAAGATGCTCTGGACTTGGAAGGACATACTTTGTGTATCCCTATATTTCATGGGTTCCTGCTGCAGGGGACACTGAGCCTGGACATGACCCCAGGAGTGACACCACCAGCACAGTATATTTTTCATTCCTTTGTGACGGAGCAGAACTCTGGGACACTACCGATGTGGTTAATCCCTGATTCTCCTGAGTGCAGTTGCCGAGGTTTGGTGATGGCTTGGTTGTACTTGCTGGCAGAGGTCCTTGGGGCTTGACAGGTCCTAGGAAGTCCTCCATCATGATCTATCTCTTGACAGTTTCTACAAATTGGTCTGCTGTCTTCTTGGGGTCTCCATGGCTCACTCAACACTGAAGGTCTTTTGGCAGGGACCTCATGTATCAGTCCAAAACAACTTGCTTCACCATCGAGGACCAGATAATGCTTCTGGTTGTGGCCATTTCATGACCAGTGGAATCAGATCATGCATCTGGGACCTTGGTGGCAGATGCATGGGTGGTACCTCCAGCTGTGCACCCTTTGGGCCCATACAGTGGTAGTCACCCCAAGGTAGGCCACAATTTATGTCTTCAGTCATTCATACATCACCATAGAGTAGGTAAGAAAAGGGGTAATGCAAAAGTCCACTGGTCATTTTCTCCAGGTAGTGATTGGCCTTCAAGGCTACCTGGTTGCAAGGGGCAACATCCACTTGCTCTTGTCCCTGAGAGAGATGCTGCACAGTCTCCTGCAAGGAGAGCAGTGAGCAAGTGGGTGTGTTTCTGCTGTGCTGTTACTGCCTGGGCTAGGGCCTGCTGCTACTGGACCATGACATCCTAATGGCATGCCTGCATTTCCTTGTGGTGTGCCTGAGTTTCCTCATGGCAGAGGTTGGCTTCCACAGCTGCCTGCTGTTGAGCCACGGTAGTTTGAACCAGGACCTTGACAACCTTCTGCATGCCACTTTCAAAGGTTTGCAGCACCTGTGCCCAGGACATTCAAAAATGTCAATTTTCACTTCAGTTAGTTTTCACTTCAAACGGCTTTGATGGTTTAATTGCCCACATCCTCCACTAGTTGTAATATGGGAGGCCTGGGATCACCAGACAACCATTTGTAAAAGTAAAACAGTCTTTATTGCTTCTTCAAAAGTCAGGAAAATAAACAGCTTTATTCAGCAAAGCAAAATACAGACAGTCCACAGTTCTGGTATATCAGCAGCAATATTATGCCTCACTACCCTATTGCCAGTCCTACACTGGTTTCCATTTTCTTTGGGTTACAGGAAAGCTGCAGGAACTCAGCAAACAGAGTTTCAGATACCAGACAGTTCACATTATCTCACAGTTCTGAACTACCTCACACTCAGCATTCTAGGAGTGCTGACTCCTTGATATTTTCAAGCTTTCCTTGCAGGTGGATTAACCTGTTCAGGACCTGTAATCAGGATTTAGAGGCTCTTTCCCACCCAGAATCCTCTCCAAGCCTCTGAATTCCAGGTTCCAAATGAGAATTTACCAATCCAGAGAGTTCCGAAGATCAGTTCTGTCATCTCCAACCAGTTTGTTCCAGAACCCTTCACACTGCATGGGTGAGAAAGTACTAACAATGTCTCTTGAGCTCTCCTTTAAACTCAAAGTGAGCAGGTGAAATCCAGTAGTCCAGATCAAGTTAGTAGGCAATCTGAAAAAGTAGTCAGGGTACAAGGCAAGGGTTAAGGATGCAGAATCCTACAAATGGAAGCACTAAAGGCAAGGACCCACAGGTAGGGAGCTTTTGCAGACCTAGTGGACTTATGATGCCTAAATAATGCATTAGGGGAGTGCAGCAAATCAGGGTAGGGCAGCTATAAACAGAAGTGTGTGGCCACTGGCCAATGGAAGTGAGAGGGAAGCTTAGGTAGGCGGAGCAACCCACTGCCTAACAATGATGATGACCAGCACAGGCTGACAGGGAAGACAGGGTTAAGAGTGTGAGACTAAATCAAGCTCCTAACATCCATCATGTCTATTGCCATTAACAGGAGCTGCAGTTTTTAATTTTATTACTCAAAATGAAATAAAAATAGAAAAACATATTCGCAATACACATTGAAGATTGCAACCCTATTGTACTATATAGTACTAAAAGTACCAAAAGCAATTTTGATTAATAAAGCCTGTGTAAAATACAGATTGAAACAAGAGACAAAGAAGAACAAAGCATAGAGGACATATAAATACAGTTTATGTGTAGTGCTGTTAAAAAGAGTTTCTCTAGGACAGCACACCCCTTGATCTGAATGCCAAAATGGCACGATGGGGCTTTTAACATTTATGTAATGTAATAAATTTAATGTAATGTATGAATAAATATTGCAATATTTTACTTCTTAGAGTCTGAAAGTGTTATTAAACCCAAATCCAAAAGTGTATATTGCAGCTTAACAATCATTAGATGAGGTGCCTTTTTTCCTTCTGTTTTCACCTGGTTATCTGGCTAGTAACACACATCCTGTATTAGTGAGACACAATGCTGGATGAATGCGCACAGGAGGCACAGCAGACAGCAATATTATCAGTCTGGGACAGTGTAGTGTTAAATGTATTAGCAAATTTAATGACATTAACAAATTGAATACAAACTCCAGCTCACACTTTATAGTCAGTTTCAGCAAACAGTTTTGTTCCTTTTGGGATAAAGGGTTCAAACTAATAAATAAAAGCTGATCATTTTAATCACCCCTGCCAGTGTTTTATGGTTCTGCTGGGAAGCATGTGCTTTTGAAAAACAACAAACTTGCTGGAAAGATCACCAGATGAAAATAGAAGAAAGAAAAACTAAAAAAGAAAATGAATGCAGCCATCACCTCTAAAAAAATTGGTAAGTTGCATTATTATCATAATGTTCTCTTTTGCCTTTCATACTTCTTTAAAGCGATACTAAAGGTTCAGTTTTTTTTTTTTAAATAACATACGTTATACTTACCTTCTCTGTGTAATGGTTTTGTACAGAGCAGCCCCGATCCTCCTCTTTTCAAGTCCCCCGCTGCCGCTCCAGGCTCCTCCTTCCTGTGCTATAGAGCAAGCAGCTTGCTATGGGGGCACCCAAGCAGGCGCACTTCCGAACCGCTGCTCCATGTGTCTATTCGCACATGGAGTCGTGGCTCAGCCCCGCCCCCTCTGTCTCCTCATTGGCTCACTGGCTGTGATTGCTAATGAGGAGGCAGAGACAGGGGACAGCCAAGGTTCTCGTGCACATCGTGCTGGATTGCGATGGGGCTCAGGTAAGTGTTGGAGGGGCTGGGGGTACTGCTGCACAGAGAAGGTTTTTTACCTTCATGTATAGAATGCATGAAGGTAAAAAACCATGAGCCTTTACAACTGCTTTAAGTAAGTGTTGGTACCTTGAACGCCCCATTGCGCTAATTTGGTATTCAAGACCACATGCAAGATTTGTCAGAAAACCTAAATGATAAGAAGTGTGTGAAATTGTATTACCTTAAAAAATGCCACAAAGATGAAAAGACAAAAATGTGATAAAGAGCTTTTTTCAGGAATAATGTGAAATTAGTAAAGTGAAGTTGTGAAAAAGCCTATGGCAACACATGAGAAAGAGCAGGGTCAATGCAGTCTATTTGCACAAAATCTAATCCTTCCGATAGAAAAGACTCACCCAAATCTGATTTCTGAAAAGAGAACTGAAATATTGTAATTGCTTTGTATTTTGTAATTTCAGCATAAAGTGCCATCACCAAAGTCCCACGTTCCTCTGACTCAGACCTATTTATCCTATAGTGGCCCAGTAGTTTACACCTATGATGCCATGACAGCTCCACCAGTTTAGGCCTACAATGGCCCACCCACTCAGACCCGATCAGATTCTGTACAGAGGCACTAGCAGATGGCCTTGCAGCTTTTTGATCATTAAAGTGTAATTCTAGGCTTAACCCAGCTATTCTTAAAAATGTCTGCTCCCTACTCCTAAAACTTTTGCTTACTAACCTGTATAAAAAAATGTGTATACTTACCCATTTTCAGCCTGCTCTGGTCTAGTCACATGATCTCTCTTTTGTCAGTCAGCGGCAGCTACAGGGGAGATGAGAGAGCTCAACAATAAATAGGAAGGCCGGGGGGCAGTGATGTCAAACATAGGCTCCCATGTCTCAGCCATTGGTGGTTCTCTCTCCTCTACAGGGACCATTTTTAAGACTAGTTAGTTTGAGACTGGAATTCTACTTTACCTTTGCACCAAATGTGTGTGTATATCAGGGGCGGACTGACAACTCATGGGGCCCCCGGGCAATAGGGGATCATGGGGCCCCTGTGTCCTTGCCCAAACTCAAAAAGGCCTATGAAAAAGGTACCAGGGGCATCTCATGGGGCCCCCTACTGACCCCGGGCCCTCGGGCAGTGCCCGAATTTCCAAATGGTCAGTCCGCCCCTGGTGTATATATACATGTATATAAACAAGGTACCATAAAGTGATAATCCAAGCTCCCAGAGAGATACCAAATTCCAACAGTTCATATTCTGGTGCACTAATGCTAGAGTAAGCAAGATGAGAAGCCGATCAAATCAGAGGGAATAAAAAGGTACATTAAAATGAGTATGAAAATGTTACTTGGATAAACATATTTACAGTATCAATAGCAAGAACATAGGAATTGTTTATTAGAATGAGGTAAGGAAACTTTCGTTTTAACCATTGTCTTGTGTGTCATTATGAAACTTGTCTGGATCCACTCCCAGATCTTCACAGAGAATGCCAAATTGGCCTCTGAACTCTCGTTGCAGAAGACTTAGTCAAACCCAATGTCTTTTGTGTCACCTAAGATGCTGCATCTGCGTCCAAGCTATATTAACTAGGATTAGAATGAGAACAGTAGAATGTATCTCAAAATCACTCAGTCACACCAAAAATCACTAAGGAATGCAGAAAAGCAGACACCTCAAACCACTGGACACAACCCCTAAAACAAAAGCTAGAAATTCCAAAGATGAGAAGGATGAAAAACACATATGGAACGCATCTTGTTTTTTATTATATTATAATTAGAGATGAGCGAATCGAACCTGGCGAAGTGGAATTCGTTTCGAATATTAGGAAAAATTCGATTCGCGTCGAATCCGAATATTAGCAAACTTCGGATGCACGAATCGAATTTTCCCCGATCCGCCGATTTTCATCCCTTCTACAGCCGGCAAAAAGTGTCCCTGCAGAGAGCTCCGCTATTTCTGACAGTTCTCTGACAGTTCCTTCACATTTACAGCAGTTGAAACATTGTATCTATTTGTTTCCATTTAGGATACAGATGTTTTTATTCGGAAACAAATAGATACAATGTTTCAACCGCTGTAAATGTGAAGGAACTGTCAGAGAACTGTCAGAAATAGCAGAGCTCTCTGCAGATACACTTTTTGCTGGAATGGAATTCTTCTTCATCCTCATCCTACTTCTTCTTCTTCTTCTTCTTCATCCTCATCCTACTTCTTCTTCTTCTTCTTCTTCTTCTTCATCCTCATCCTTCTTCTTCTTCTTCTTCTTCTTCATCCTCATCCTACTTCTTCTTCTTCTTCTTCTTCTTCTTCTTCATCCTCATCCTACTTCTTCTTCTTCTTCTTTTCATTCTTCTTCTTCTTCTTTTAATTCTTCTTCTTTTCATTCTTCTTCTTCTTCTTTTCATTCTTCTTTTCATTCTTCTTCTTCTTCTTTTCATTCTTCTTCTTTTCATTCTCTTTTCATTCTTCTTCTTCTTCTTTTCATTCTTCTTTTCATTCTTCTTCTTCTTCTTTTCATTCTTCTTCTTCTTTTCATTCTACTTCTTTTCATTCTTCTTCTTCTTCTTTTCATTCTTCTTCTTCTTCTTTTCATTCTTCTTTTCATTCTTCTTTTCATTCTTCTTCTTCTTCTTTTCATTCTTCTTTTCATTCTTCTTCATCTTCTTTTCATTCTTCTTCTTCTTCTTTTCATTCTTCTTTTCATTCTTCTTCTTCTTTTCATTCTTCTTCTTCTTCTTCTTCTTTTCATTCTTCTTCTTCTTCTTTTCATTCTTCTTCTTCTTCTTTTAATTCTTCTTCTTCTTTTAATTCTTCTTCTTCTTCTTTTCATTCTTCTTTTCATTCTTCTTCTTCTTCTTTTCATTCTTCTTTTCATTCTTTCTTCTTCTTCTTTTCATTCTTCTTCTTCTTCTTCTTCTCATTCTTCTTCTTCTTCTTCTTCATCTTCTTCTTCATCTTCTTCGTCGTGCCCCGTGACTGCCCAAATGAGTGAAGTGTGCGGTGATTCTAAGATCGACGGCACTCATCTGCATGTCATACTGACTGACAGTATTATTTCTCTTCCCCAGCAGACTCCAAGGGCATTTAAATTAAAGGTACAGTGTTCTGCACTAATATAAAGGCTCTCTGAAGCCTAGAAACCCTTTTAATAAGTTAAATTCGCAGCGAATAAATTCGCATCGAATCGAATTTATTCCGCAAATTCGGCAAATCAGCCGAATCGAATTTTTTGAATAATTCGCTCATCTCTAATTATAATGCAATGCACTGTACAACATGTCACATTTTCTTCTAGTTTACACATAAAAAGTAATTTATAAATAATAGCTATAATAGTATCTTTCTTTCATAAGTGAAGGCAGAGCAGGGTCTGAGCTGTCAAACTGATAGCTCCGTTCTGCAGATTACACAGGAAGATTGCAGTTCTCCCTGTGTAAAAATAAGCACTATGTGCTCTGTTTACACAGCATGTGGCTCTCAGAGAATGGGTGTGTTGCTGGTTAAGAGGGAGAGCTGCCAGCCCCCAGTGTGATCTGAAGGAGTGAGCTTTGACAACTCAGTTCTGCACAGAGCAAGAAACAGCTGGGCATTGCAAAGGCAGGAGGGGCTCCCCCGCAGCATGGCACCTGAGGAAGAAGCTTCTGCCTTGGACCAGCCCTGGTCACCTGATCTGAATCAAATAGAACACCTTTGAAATAAATAAATAAAACAGTTGGGAGAGGGTCTTTTTTCATGTGGCTTTTGGAGGTGTCATGAAAGAACTACAAACCATTTAAATGGCCTTAAGAGCTGTTTGTGGTGCAAGGTTGCAACTATCAGTAAATTTACAGACAGTTTGTAAAAATCAGTAATTTTTTACAATTGTTTATAAATATCATAGGTCGATAATTTGTCATGATATGCTGACTTTGTAAATGTACACCAGGCAAATCACTTCTTATGGGTATTGTCAGAGTTTCTATATTGTGTTCATACTGTTTAAATATTGATCATAAAAGTTTTTAACAGTTCTGTCAATATTCCTGTCAATTTTTAGGCTGTCAGTAAAAAATGTGCAACGTCTAGAAATTTTCCATGTTTTCTCAGTGAAAAATGCTGTGGGAGGTTGGCAACACTGATGAACAATAGTTTTTTACAAACAGCTTCAGTGGCTTCATACTCAGGCAGTGTACAGTTTGCTCTGGAATGAATCTTTTTCTTCTACAAAGGGTTTGTCTTACATAAAGAGTTTACAAAAGGCTTTTTTCAGGAAGTTTAAGCAGTGAAACATGCAGCCAGTTTATAGAAATTGGACAGTGATTCACCGAGGTTGTCTCTTTTCTTGATGATGCAAAGCTCTCCTGCTGCTAGCCAATTTCTATCAAACTTTCATTAAGATTTTGATATATCTAATTATGTTATCATCTCCCTTCAGCAATTTTTTTATTAAGCTGAAACATGACAGTTTCAAGCTCCCTTTTAAACGTTAGCCTTCTGGCCATGGTTCCAAGGCCATGCAGTGCATTCTGGTTGAAAAAAAAATTAGGCAAACTTTCAAATAATTTGGAGGACAATTATTTTCTGCACTCTTGCACCCTGCCAATAGCTGCTAGCACTCAAATGAAACAAAAGATTGCCACTTTTCACCATAAAAATCAGAGCATCTATTCCACCATCATAAGGAAACAATTATCAATCAAAACACTATAATAATAATTAGGTATAGCAACTAATAGGTGTAAAACAGCAAAAATACAATATCTGTACAAGTGTAAAAATGTCCACTGAATTTTCTTATATAATATAGTGCACATAGCGTCTTCATTGGCATTTCTGTGATTAAAATTCATCTCATAAAGTGAGGTACAGTTGACCTGGGGAGTAGGTGTGCTGTACATAAGTTTAGCATTTTTTACAAGAAGATACTATTTGCACTTTTAGTCCTCATGCACACTGAACGTTTCAGTAACACTGGTAATGTTAGCTGTGTAAAGTCATGTTAAAAACTTGAGTTTTTCAGCATTTTTTAGCTTTTTAGATTGGTGTTTAGCAGAATTTTCCTGCATTTTCTGCATTTGTGTTTCTTCCACGTTTTTTAGCATTATTACAGCTAAAAAACTCCTCTAGAAACCCACTAGTCCTGGGTTTTTTTCCAGCTAAAAAACATTGATTACAGTCTATGTGTGTACTAGCTGTAGAAAAAAACCATCAAAAGCCAAAAATGTCAAGTGTGCATGAGGACTTATGGATATCGCTTATATTTTCCCCCTTATTAGATGCTATACCTAATTATGTTTATGGTGTGTTTAATTAATATAATATGTTTCTATATCTAGGTGGAATAGATAAACTGTTTTTTAGAAGTGAAGTGTGGCACATTTGTTATTTACTTGCACAAAAATTTGCCTGGATCAAGAATTTGAAGCCAACAGGAATGACCATGAGCCAAGCCTTATCCTTAAGGCACATTAGTCTCTCTCCTCTTATCTTCCATATCTTTCTCTTTATTATGGTATAGCGGGTACTGGTTAAAAATGTTCAGTTGCCATTTATAAACCTCATTGCAGTCAGTGGGACATGAAGGTTAAAAAACAGTAATGGCCATTTTCTAGGCTAATAGGCAAGGGATCATCAAACAAATTAAATGGGATGGGAAATGGGTGGGAAACATGTACCAAAGTATAGGCATAAAAATAAATTAAAATTCAGTTTGGCAGCAAGCAGCTGTTTTGATAATGCTTACAGGACAACATTAAAAATGCCCTGAACCTGCCTATGAAGTGCTACATCTGTGCAATGTATACAACTTACTGCAGCAAAACTGACACAAAGAAAAGAAAATTTTAATTTCCTGTTAATGACAGCTCCCAGACCCTTAATTCTGTAATGAAAGCGGTCAGGGATTCTCTTCATCTATACCAGACTCTTCTCCTAGATGTTAAGAGATGTAAATGGAGGACCCCACAACAAAAATTCATGAGGTTTCCCCAAAGATTACATACCAGACCCTTATCCTTGAGAAGGGTCTGGTATGCATATAAAGCAGCTTAAAGCAAAAAAGCATGGGGTGCCTCCCACATTCTATACCAGATCCTACAAGACTCGTATAGGTTTTAAGGCAAAAATAAGTAAAGACCGTCTGGGGCCCTCCCTAACATCCATATCAGATCCTTATCTGAGCATGCA